ATGCAAAAACAGCAAAAATAAAATACAATTTGCGGGTTATGACACAATTCTCTGTCCTCCAACAGTTCAATGAAATGCCTTCCTCCTAAAAGACGGGACAGTTTGGAACCTTCACCCCTGGAGCGGTCGGGCAGCTTGCCAATGGACAATGGTCATTCAACGGCAACCCCCACCACTGCACTCCATCAATATTCCTAATTTGCAGAGAGAAATAAGTCAAAGTAGCCATGAAAGCCACTCCAGCATCCAACCCCGCCGACAAAACGTAGTTATGCCTCGCCCACCACCCTTTATACCTCCTATAAACCACAAAGCTGAAGATGATTCCCACAGTCCCCCACATGATGTAATTAATAGCCCTCGCAGGCGGCATCGCCCCTGTGGCGCTGAGGATGATGGGCATGTTGATGAGTCTGAGCCATTTCTTGTTAGGGTATCGCCGGGAGAGGAGCCAAATGGGGACGGGCGCTAAGATGCCGACGAGGAAGAAGTAGTTCATTTTGGTGTAGAGGCCGAGATTACCGAACATGCGGCGAGGGGCGACTACACCCCAGATAATGGAAGCATTGAAGAAGACGGTATCGCCGGGGCAAGTCCATGGGCTTCCTTCGGGGAGCTTTGATGGATCGCATATGTTTTCGATTGTTTCAAGAAGCCACCAAGCGGTGCCGAAGTAGACGGAGGAGGCCACTATGGTGCCTACCAGCTGAAAATCCACAGAGGTAATTAATTTATGATTATTTTCATTGATGATGATGATGACTATATGCTGAAACACTTGGTTTCTTCTATGGTTTCATCCGAGTTACATCAGTGATTTAGTGTGGTTTCTACTATTTCGATTGTTCTGACGGTTTCGATTTCGATTTCGATGGTTTTGGCCTGTAATTTCGAACCGAAATCACTGAAATCGTTCAAATCTTACCGAAACAAAAGCAATTTTGGTGACATGATTCCAATTAGCTCAATCTGAGATGGTTTTGGACATTTATCCTTTACCTGAACCAAAAACATAGACTTAGGGGGAATCTTCATGTAATGCCCTAGCTTGAAATCTGCGAGGAAGGTGATTGCTTGTGTCATGCTAATATAGCCATATGTCTTGAAAGCAACATTAGCAAGAGGCCTTCCGGGGTATATGTATCCAATTATCAGCTCAGTAAGAACATTAAGCCCTGGTTGCTGAAAATTTTTTTTTATAAATATATATCAGTTCTACCTTTTTAATCATTCTTATGCTATCTAATAATAATAATAATAAAAAATAAATAAATAAAT